CTTCCCTGTAACTACAAATGTATTTGAAGGAGCAAGTCATTCTGCAAACAGCTGTTTTTGTGACAAGACTGATTGACAAAGAGCAGTTTGCAGCATCCTGAGGTTTTCTTATTTTGATGGATGGTAAAGCTTTCTCCTGAAAGTAAAAGAAGTACTTTTCACAGGGTTTCCACCACCAAGTACATGAACAGTCTTGTTATCTGACAGATTCTGAGTCTTCATAACTGCCCAAGACTTCGGTAAGATTTGAATCATTGCAGTACTATTTTTCTGTCTCTGTCACAGGCTTTGTATTCATTTTTTTAAAAAGCTTAAAGGCAGGAAAAAGGCAACAGATTGAATTTGGGAGTTTTTTTTAAATATATAAATGCTCCACAAGTTTCTCCTTTGTTACCAAGTTTTTGATGCAGATGTGGTTGAGAAATGTCATGGACCCTTCCCTCTCCCTGCTTGCTGTTCTTTGGCTGCATTTTCAAAAGCAGTAGATGGGAAAGGAGAGCCCCAAATCCATCTATGTAAGAGCACTTATTTCAGCAGAGAAATGCTTTTCTATTGAATCATGTTGCTAGTTTTCTTAACTCCGTAACACAGTGAAACATTAGATGAGAATGACCAGTTTTTAAGGTCAAAAGGAAGTGGAAAAGGAGGGATACTGAAGCCAAGTGTGAATGAGTTTTCTTTTTAATCTGTTTAATGTTTCTTTCATTGATATACTTATTTGGAAGATGGAGAACTTGACTGACACGTCGTGGCTACTCTTAGCTGCTGTTCTGAGGCTACAGCCTCCTTTGTCAAAGACATACATTGAAAGAGTTTTTATGACATTGGCTAATACTTCAAACTACTTACTAGATGGTGAATTTGACCCATGAGTCTAGACTGGCAAAAGGAGGACTTGGGACACTGACCTAGAGAAACCTGAGGATGTTTGTGGGGGGTTTTCAGACCCAATATAGTTTCTGGGCCACTAAAGAGCTAGTTTGTTAGAGCATTTTGGGAACTACTCTGTGTGCTTAGGACATCTCTGAAACCTTTCTAGTCCATAGCCATTGTTTTTCCAAAGAACAAGAATAATAACTAATTACATCCTCTATGGGAGCAACCTTTTCCCACCCACATCTTTATCCCCTTCAAGGATTAAAATGCAAGTGTTAAGAAATGTCAGAAATAACATTTGCAACCCACTCCAATGCCAGTTAAAGTATTTTGGCCTATAATGAAATTTGGGCCTCTTGAAGAATGAATGCTATGTGGAAAAGGTTTATTATCACCAAGTGCTCTGTACATAAATACATTATCCTGACTTCTGAAGTCAGTTTGAAAAACAAACAAAAAAATGTGAGGAGTGTGATTTTCTTTCGTAACATTGCATCCCACAGATCACATCAATATTAAATTACTTGGTCTTCTCATCTATCGTTTTGATAGAAAATGCAGATTTTTTTGTTTACCTTATAAGCTTTCTTTAACATAAACAGCAGTCTCTTGTAAGGTGGAATTGCTATGCATTTGCATTGTTATAGAATTAAATTATGGATTCTGTCATTCAAAAAGGAATGCTTTATAAATCAAGTAAAATCTCATAACTAAGATGTATAAGTTTCTTTAAATCTCATGCTGCCTCATATTCCATACTTTAGTTTTATAGCCTAACTTGATGTGATTTTTAAAGTGCAATTTTCTCTTTTCCTCATTTCTGTGTATTGTTTAGCTTTGTAAAAATGCCATCTATTTAGCAAGAAAAAGCTTAAGAAAAGTTACTACATGTAACAGATAGTGATAAAATAAAAAACAAAAAAGCACATTCAGGTTTTATCTCTGGTTCAGGAAAAAAAGCCAAATACACTGTACTTCCTCCCTTTCTCTTGCTTTCCCTGATAAACTTTAAATGATATTAACAAGCCATAAATTGAAACAAAATTGTGTGATCCCAGTTATTCTTTTGTTCCTTTGGAACTTCTAAGTATGAGAAACAGTGTTGATATCTATTTTTTTTTCAGAAGGACTATGAATTGTGTTCCGGAGCTGTGTGTGAATTGTTTTAGCTAACTAGGCTTTGCAATCCTAAGGCAATCCTGCTCAGCAACTGCTCAGGTTGTTTTTTTCTCATCACTGCTATGTAACTGCCCCAAAGCATAGGGATTGATGCAATGGCCCTGAATGTGACTATGCCTCAAGATGAAAGATAAGCAAAGGAGAAAGAAGGTCAGGAGTGAGGTATTTTCTTGGGTCAGGGGGCAGTATCTCCAAATGCAGCTGCTGGTAGAGATGAAAAAGACTGAAATCCAGAAGAGAGGTCAGAGATAGACATTTTAGATCTAGACAATTGTAGGGCTGCCTGAAATGTTGGAATGACTCCATTTCTCTGGGGGCAGGGGTATGGTGTAGGGCAGGATGAGAAAAGAGAGCCAAAGATTTAGGTCTGAGTTTTTAAGGAGGAGGAGGAGGAGAAAGAGGAAGTGGAGGCCCAAACTTAGAAGCATAAACTAGTATGGCTGAGCGTGGAAGTCAACAAGTACCACCTCTCCTTCAGGCTGTGGATTTTGTGGCAGATAGCCTCAGTTACTTGGGTGAAGATTGAGGGTGGATCCAGGTATCAAGGTCCCTGTGACTGTTTTTATCATTATGAAAGGTCTACTAGATGGAAAACAATCCTTACCGTTTCCCTTTAGGCAAAAGATTCCCATTATTGTGACTGTTCATACATATAAAGATTTCTTTAGTCTTTCCTTATATGTATTGAAATTCTATTGTTATTCTTGATCTTACTCGTACACATTCAGGAGAATTTGGTTCATATCATTTTTAGCTTTCACTACCTACAAACTCTTCTTTTCACAAGATTCGCAAAGTAACATTTGAAATGATGGTATTAGGTCTTAGAAATTGTCTACGTCTGATGAAGAAATTGAAATCGGAAAAACAAAAGGGCCAACTCGATAGAAAACGATAGTATATCCTTTAATTTTTCATACTAGGTTTTTAAGTTATACTCAGCTTTTTTCCAGAGAAGGTAATACTCTAGAGGAAAAACTCTGGCTAATAGACACAGAGTGCATCTGGATAGCAGGAATAACTTTTAGTATTCTATAGCAGCACAGTAGAGTACTTCTAGTTGATAACAATTAATTGTTAATTTAAAAAAATAGGTGGCAAAGATGATTCTGAATGTACTCCACAAAGAAATGATAGTCGTCTGAAGTGACAGATCAATTATCCTGGTCTAATCAGTATACATTATATAATGTGTTGAAATTTCACACAGAAAAAAGTAAAAAACAATCATGCCTGTACTCCAAGAATATATACAATTATGTCACTAAAACTTAAAACTATTTTAGCCATGCACCAGTTGTTCACACCTATAATCCTAGCTACCTAAGGCTTGAAGCCGGCCTGGGCAAGAAAATCCAATGAGACTCATTTTGAGTTAACCACAAAAAAAGCTGGAAGTGGAGCTATGGCTCAAGTGGTAGAGCTGTTGTGTTTGAGACACAAAAAATTCTGGGCCTGAAACAGCACCCAGGCCCAGAATTGAGGCCTCAGAACTGGCAATCAATCAATCAACAAATAATCAAACTTTTTAAAAAATACATTGAAATTAATGCAAAACCTAACCCTCAAGAATGTTCATTATATATAGCTGTATAAAACTCTGAATGGTCATACTTTGACAGTAAAATCATAGGAATTCTTTCATAGAAAGATAACTAAATTTGGAGGAATGGTTCCATAAGCCATTTAGCATCAAAAATAAGAAAATGTATCGCATGAGTTGAATGAAAACACTTGGTGAATGAATTTATTTTTCTACTGGGAATTCAGGTAGCCTAGCAATTTGAACTCGAGTCAAAAGAAAAAGGGGTTGCCTTTTTTCCTACTTTTCATTCCCCTCCCACCCCCTGCCTTAACCTCACACATACAGTAATGAATCTTAGCATCTGTGGGAAAATGGATTGCTTGAAGTTTGCTTGTCTTAAAGGTATGACGGTGGACCAAACAATCCAAATGAAATAATCATGAACTGCTGCATGTGATGCTCAGGAGTTTAACAGAATAATAGGTCACATGACGAAAGTATGATAAACAACTTGTCCAGTAACATTTTTTGCTCCCACATAAGCACCATAATCAGTAGTTATGTCAGTATTTACATGACAACAAAAGCATGTTTGATTCCATGAAACTGACATTATCCTGTCTTGTAAGTATGTAAACCATCAGTAAAACGTTGAAAGAGCAGAGAATCCAAAATATACCTTGCTCTCAATTATTAAAGTAACGTAAGGTTATTGTTCCCAGAATTTAAAGAACAACATGGCTGCCAAACATAGTAATTGATTCTTTGATTAACCAATTATCAGTGGATTTCAAAAAAAATTCACATTATATAAGTTTCACAATAAGAGCCTTGGAGTTTGGACTGTCCTAAATAACGGGGTCTAAATTTTTTATTTTCATGCAGATGAGTATTAATTATCTTTCTGGCTTTTTCTTTAATATGGAGATCCAAATCTTGAATCTTACTTAATTTAAAGTGGGTTGTATTAAATTGAAACATTTAACTTACATCTCATGTTGGAAGGCTTTTAAATTTAAATTTGTACTTTTATTTAAACCTCATGATGTGCAATGTGCAAACTATAATTTGATGCATATCAAATTAGAGCACAGTGGCTAAAAGAAAGAGTTCTAGACTCAGACTAACTGGGTTTTGGTTGTATTTCTAGTGTGTTTCCATAGGCAACTCATTTAGCGTTTCTTAGTGTGAGTTTCCTTACCTAGAAGATGAAATTTTTACAGGGTTGATATGAAGATTAAATGAGTCAATTCATAGAAAGTGCTTCGCAGTTATTACCATATGATAAAAAGTTTCAAAAATAAGCTCTTATTACTCTCTTAACCATATCAGATCTTAGATAATTATTATTATATTATTATATAATATATTAATAATACTACTTCATTTAGGTGAAAATAATTTAATTCTTTTCTTATAGGGTCGTTGCACTCGAGAGAACTGCAAGTACCTTCACCCTCCTCCACACTTAAAAACACAGCTAGAAATTAATGGAAGAAACAATCTGATTCAACAGAAGACAGCCGCCGCCATGTTTGCCCAACAGATGCAGCTCATGCTCCAAAATGCTCAAATGTCATCCCTTGTAAGTCTATGAAAATTGCCAGTGGGTACTGGGGCTTTTGATTTTGAGTTTGTTTTTGTAGTGCTTAAGAATCAAACTAAGGGGGCTGGGAAGGTGGCTCAGTGGTAGAGCACTTGCCTTGCATGCCTGAGGCCCTGGGTTCGATTCCTCAGCACCACATAAGCAAAAAGAAAAAAAGCCGGAAGTGGCACTGTGGCTCAAGTGGTAGAGCACTAGCCTTGAGCTGAAGAGCTGAGGGACAGTGCCCAGGCCCAGAGTTCAGGCCCTATGACCAGAACCCTCCTCCCCGCCCCCAAAAAAAGAACCAGACTAAGGGCCTCACAGTAGGCAACTGTATTACTGCTTAGGTATACTCTCAATTCTATGTCTTTTTTTAAATAACCTTCAGATTCTCTGGGTCATTATCACTACAGGAGTATGGATACAGCTGTGTATTTACAGTACATTGATATAGCCCATTGATACTTCAGGTGTGGAGGATTGAAAACCTGGTTGTATTTATGCATGAGTTCAATTTCTGGAAGCATAGTACTAAGAGAGCAAGAATATTTCAAGATGAGGAGTATATTTGATTATTATTACATGGAAACTTTTGAACTCTGGGCTACAGATTCAGATTTCCTTGATTCCTTGGTGATTGTTGCTTTTTAATAAGATGTATTTTAAAATAATTTTAGACTTATTAGGAACCTTTCAAATAGAGTATAGAGTTTCAGTAGTACTCTCACTCAGGTTTCCCCACCTTTTCTGTGATCCTGGAGATTGAACTCAGTGCCTGACACATTCTATGCAAAGGTTCTACCACTGGGCCATAGCCCCAGCTCTGAACTGTTCTTTGCAAGATGGAACTCACAGCTTTGTGCATACTAAGCAAGTATTTTACTTCTCAACTATGCCCCAGTCTTACCCTTATTTTAACATTTTATATTTCCATGGTAGATGTACCAGAACCAAGAAATTGGTCTTCCCACATTACTTTCATTTAAGCTCTTGGCTTGGTTCAGGTATCAACAGGTTTTTCATTAATAATGCCAAAGTCCAGTCTATGGTACCATGTTGCATTTATTTGAATTCTGTCTTGCCTCTCTCTTGTGATCTGTGACCATTTCTCAACATAGCTACAGAGTTTCCCTTGGCAAAAAAAATCAATAAGAATATGGTATCATAGACAAGTATGTAGTGTTTTTGTGGATCAGTGAGTGTTCAGATGATTAGTTTATAAAGTAATTAAGCTGTATCTGTTCATGTTGTCCTATTGAAAATTAATCCCATCTGGATACCTTGAAATATACATTGATTTGGGTCTGGCACCTCTCAGAGAGAAATGAAATTTGTTCCATTTCTGTTGCAGTTCCGGTCTCAAATTTATCTCCATAGTGCCTCAGTCTAATTTTAACTAGCTTCCTTTCCTTTAGCTCATTCACAAGATAACCATGAAAGGTCTAGATTATCTTTATTTGTTACACATATAATCAATCACTATAATAAGCTCTTAGACAGCTGAAAAATGTATATAATATTTAGGTGCATTAAAAATGTATAAGTCAGACCATCTGCTCCCAGCAAGCCTCACTCATTAGAAGGCTGCTTCTCAAAATCTCAGGAGCTCAGTATGGATCTAGCACCTTTTACCTTGCATTATCTGTGTACATAAATTCAACAACCAGTGGTGAGGTAATTGAGGAGTCACTGAAGCTTTGCTCCATGGTCCACCTTCCTAAATGTCTAGACAAATTTAGGTGAAATAAATTAGCTTTATATCCTGTACTGTTAGTTTGACCAAAAGAAAAAAAACTTTCCTTGAAACTCAGCAGTGATTAATTACACTGATTAATTAGTGGTCAGGTCATCAGTAGGCCTCTTTTGAGATCCTTTGACCTTTAGAAATACTTATATGGCCAAATTCCATGTTGAAACTCATTCTGGGGTTTTGTACACTAAGGGGTCATAGTTCCTCCCTACTTCCATGGGACTAAGGGAAAGGCATTCAGATACTGAGAATAATATGACCTAAACCACAGAACTATGAATAATATGACCTAAACCACAGAACTATGAATATGCTTCATGTACCCTGAAAATGTGAATACATAAGGAATAAACTGAGGGGAGGTTTTACATGTTTCCTCACCTTATGGAGGTATATTGACAAAAGTGTATATATTTAAAGTACACAGTAAAATGAATATATATATATATATATACATACTCTGTAAAATGATAAAACATGGATTTATCTAAAACTCATCATTCTAAGTGAAATGTCCAGATAGAGAAATACAACTAGTACATATCACTTACTTAGGAAATCTTTAAAAAGTTGAATTGTGGGGCACTGGTGACTCACATTTGTAATCCTAACATTCAAGAGGCTGAGATCTGAAGATCACCTTTTGGAGTCAGCCCAGGCGGAAAAGTCAATGAGGTTTGTGTCTCCAATTAATCACCAAAAAGATGGAAGCGGAATTATGGCTTAAGTGGGAGAGTGCTTGCCTTTGCAGAACTTAGTTTAGGAACAGCTCTCAAGCCGTGAGTTCAAGCACCAGGATGGACACACACACACACACACACACACACACAAAAGTTGAACTCATGCACAGTGTTGTTGCTGGGGCTGCGGATGGGATATAGAGGGATATTTGCCTAAAGTTGATGATTTTAAAAAAGCAATGAACTCACTGTTACTATGCCCAGCTCACCATGGGATGTCCCACTTGCAAAGTGAACAAGAATAGAGCCCTGCATATCCTTTAGCACCACAGAGCACATGTCTTTTCAAAGGTTAAGAGAAATTTTCAGGCCACCAATTAAGAGGGAATCAGATAGCAGGGCATAAAGGTGAAGTAGGGTGAAGAGGAAAGTCACCATATGCCTTCTACTCAGCCTCTGAGAGTCTCTCCATTTCCAGTCTTAGTCCTTCAGGAATTATTAATCATGGTGGATCACAATGAAAAAGTGATTTTTAAAACTCCAGTAAGATAACTGTAACCCCTGTGTCCATCATCTTTGTAATAACATTAAAAAATAAGAATAAATAAAACCCCAAAGGAACCAACAAAAAGAAAAAATGAATCCAGTGAGTATACTCTTAAGGGAATATACTTCTGTGCCTCTGAAAATATATAAATATATATAATAGATAGGTAATATATAAAACAAATATATAAAATAATATTTATCAAAATGAATTCTAAGAAATGGAAATTAGGTTTTTTTTTCCTTTAAGAAATAATCCAATAAGAAATTCTTTAAATCTTTTAGCTTCTTGACTTGTGCTTTCTAGTGTGTGTGTGTGTGTGTGTGTGTGTGTGTGTGTGTCTGTGTCTGTGTCTGTGTGTTTCTGAACTGGGGCTTGAACTCAGGGCCTTTTGCTGTCCCTTTGCTTTTTTTTTGCCCAAAGCCGGTGTTTTATCCCTTGAGGCACACTCGTACTTCTGGCTTTTTGGTGGGATAATTGGAGATTAGAGTCTCACAGACTTACCTACCACCCTGGCTTTGAACCTCAGTCTTTAAATCTCAGCCTCCTGAGTACCTAGGATTGCATGCATGAGGCACTGGCACCTGGCTCATACTTTTGATAACAGTATACATTTCCATTTTTTTCCTCCTGAGTGTAATTTCAGATTATAGACTGCAAAAATCAATGACTGATACAATTCACAGGAATACAATTTAGTCCCTAGGAACAATTAGAAATTTCTTTTAAACCTTGCAGATTATTCAGTGATAGCTGTTGCTATGTTAGAAACTGATAAAAGATTAATTTCTGCAGCTATTATGTGTACAAAAAAATCTTAACACTGTGTGGTCGATATGATCCTCCCACATGGCCTTACAAACTGCTTTGTAGGTGTGTCATAATTAAGCTAGTGTGAATACTTTTAAGTGGCTAGAAAAGAGCTCTTTATTACAAAATCCTGATATAATAACAAGAGTACTATATAATTTTATTTAATTTCCCTGGTACCTAGTCACCCCTTAACAACTCTTTATCTCTTTCAATCACCTCCCTTACAAATAATCTGCTCCTTGTCCCTAACAGTTATTTTTTTAATGCCAGCCTTTGCATTTGTGTGATTGCACATTAAGACCCAGTTGTATCAGTGGCTTGAACTTCAGGTCTTTCTACAAAGCATACTTTGATTTGTTTCTAGGATACCATAAGAGCACATCTGCCTTTGCAAAATTGAATGTAGTTTGCTTATTATAAGCCCCTAGATAAAGGGAATGTCAACCTAAATGGAATGGGAGCTAAAGAACAGATTGTGTTTAGTGTGGCTGAACAATGAATGAATGCCACACCTAGTCAATTTGGGACAAATGCTTGCTGTAGCAGGCAAGTTTGTTCACTAGGTTTAACAGCTCTTCATTGATATTCACTGCTATAAAATCCCACCACTGAAAGGTTTTCCTTGGCTTTATTAAGGAAGCATAACAAGTGGAACAAAGGAATACCTCTCTAATATTTTCCAGTGCACTTTAAGAGATGGTTTCTGATGTTTACAGCACATATATATGTAAGTGTATGTATATATATATATATATGTATATATACATATATGTCTAGGAACTTCCCTTTGCATAGTCAGGTGACAAATATGAGCACTGTAGAAAATTTCAGAAGTAGTCACACTGGATTACTCTCCAGCAAAACTAAAACATTTTTATTTCAGCTTTATGACAAGGAAGTTTAGTGAAGTACATCACTACTGGATGTGAACTGTGTCTGTATAAACTGGATATTAAAGTATGTTTCTTTAGACATTCTTATATATCTAGACTTGTTGATATCAGGGAAATCCCTTTAGTTTCTCTCTTCGAATTTGATGATTCACATGGAAGGAGACTTGACCCATGGGAGCGTATTCATCTGATGACTTATACAGAGGAAGCGGTTCAGCACATTGCCCTTTAGTTTTGCTGTACACTTTTAAGCCTTCCATTATGGATAGGTTATAGAGTCCAAACCACAAAGATGATAAACAAGGACACACTCCATG